GGGGGGGGGGGGGGGGTGAATGTTCCAGACCTCAGGGATGAGTCGGAGATTCCCGTCCTCGGAGACAGGGCCGACGCTGTGGACCGAGTTGAAGAGTTTCCCCCGGGTCTGCAGGCCGGGTCTATGGCCGTATCTCCCAAACCCTTGTCCCAAGAAGGACAGGAGAAAAGAAAAAGAAGAAGAAGACGAAGAAGGAGAAGGCTATCTCGGATCCTAGTGCAGAGCATTCCGGGGACGTTGATACTTCGGCTCCGAGAATCGAAGCTCCAACGGCTCTGTCGGACAGACCGATCACTCTAAAATTCAAGGAAGTGTTTCCTGAAAAGGTTCTCTTCTCGTACGATGAAGCCTCTCCTTTGATCAGCATTGGGCCTAAATGTGCTGATCTCATCTTTCAGATTAAAGGAGGTCTGCGCGAACTCCCGGCTATCGATCAGCTTTCCTTCCCGAAGGCTTACATGGACGTATCACACAACTTGCTAACGGTGAGTATCCTCTCTTTGCTTCCCGGTACAACTTCCGTGTTAAAAGTTTACTGCCTTTCTTCTCTTGGTCCGTTGAGCCAATATTTCAGGCTGACGGTAGCATCAACTTCCTTGTAGAGCAGTACGACACAGAGCTCAAGAGGACATATGCTGATCTTGGCAAAGCTCATGAGAAGAAAAAGGTCGGGAAGAAGCGGATCATTGCGTTAAAAGCATCTCTTGGGCAAGCTGAGATGGAAAGAGATGAGGCTACTCGCCGGGCTGAGGTAGAAGCGATGAAGGCTGAAGACGTTGCGGGTAGGCTGAAGTCTGAACGGGCCGTGGCGGAGAGACTCGAGGCAGAAAAGGCTGTCTTGCTGTCAGAGAAGGCTCAGTTTGAGCACGAGTAGCGCGAGCTCGCAGAGGCTCATGCGAAGGAGGCTGCCCAATTGAGGGATTCTCGAGTGTTCGAAGTTACTTGGGAGCGGGCGAGGGTGATCGCTGCTATGTCTGCGAAGGCCAATGTTTGGTTCGAACGCATTCGCAACCGAGAAAATACCTTCCCCTAATTCGACGATGCCTGATGCTCCTACAGTAAGGCTTTTGGTACCCGGAAGTGCCTGGAGCTTCTTAAGAAAAGGGGAGACCTGATCCTGCAAGAGAGGATCGAATACTTCGCGCGCAAAAAGGCTAAGTGGTTCGAGGAGGCTTCTCGGTTAAACATCGGTCCTCTCACAGAGCATGATTTAACTTTGTCCCCTCTTGCCTTGGAATCGACGTTCGTCGATGAGAGTTTACTCACTACCTTGACGTCTGAGCTGGAGAGGGAACTTCCTTCAAATCAGCATGGTTCGAACTTGAACCT